TGCCGATTTAAAAACGGAATTCACCCTAACATGTTGGGACACAAACCAATGTTTAAGGGAAATTTGAAGGTTTGGCAACACATCCATCGAGATCGATGCTGCAATATGCAAGAAGGGACCCTCTGTTTGGAGAAGGAGACGGACAATGTGGGATATGCTGGAATTGAGGGAAGAAACACATCACTGCTTGAGTGGTTTGGCCTTCTAAATTCATCCAGACCCCCAAAAATCGAAGTCCATTGGGGAAGTGAGGGATCCAAATTTCTCCCATTCCTTCCTCCGTTTTCCTCGCTGAACTTAGGGGTTGTGGGCTACCTTTAGGTTTGCTTACCGCTTGGCCGAACCTGTTTCGGGAAGGCGACTTTCATAACTCCCGGGGTTCCTTGCCCCCATTAGCAGAATGGCTGACCCAATTGGGATGATGACAATCCTGAGGCAAACCGGATGGTGGTTGCAGGTTATGTCATGTTAGCCAAAACATTGTTTTAATGGTGGGTTTGAAACCCAGGGTCATATTAACAACCCTTTGCTTTAATGGTGGTGACAGTGGTGACTGACCCCAGTCAACAGACATGAGTTGGATTGTTTAGCACGTGGAGCGATGGCCGTCTGTGGAGCTTGCTGGGGGCATCAAATCTCCTAGCATGTTGTCTTCTGTGGCGGTGCTTCTGCTTGCCTGATTCCTTGCCTGCTTCCTTGCCTGCTTCCTTGCCTGCTTCCTTGCTTCCCCACCTGCCCGTTTGACTGCTTGCCTGTTTGTTTGCCGGATTGTTGGTTTGCTTGTTGATTTCCTTTCTTCCTTGCCTGCTGTGCCGTGCCCGCTTCTCTTTCCGTGCCCAAGCTGGCTCCCTGCGAAAACCGGCCTGGGCTATCTGGGCCGCACCTGTGCACGGCGCCAGCCGATTTCTAAGAGACCGCAGAACTATCTCGCACTTGGAAACTACGATTGAAACCATTGTTGTTAATTGGTAGTTGCAGGGGAATCAAATCATTCCAGGGTTTCCGTGATACAGTGGTTGACTCTTGCAATCACGACCTAATAACTGTTTCACAATGGTTCTCTAAACCGGATCAAGGCCTCTTGTCATGCCCCCAATGAAAACGCACAAATCTAGAAGCAGCCTGAATGACTCCAAGCAAGTCCTGTGACCTGGCCAAATCCTGAGCCCCTGTCATCCACTACACATTGACACTGCAACGCCGGAATTCCCCTCATTCCCCATACACACCGTAAACTCGTTGCAAAACATGTAATCCAAACCAATGCCATCCAGCATTGGCTAGATGGGGAAGACAAACTCGTTGCAACAAAAAGTACTCGAAACCAATGGCATCCATTGGTTAGATGGGGAAGAACAAATTCGAGGCCTGCCCATAACTACCCACCCACTTCACATTCTGAGGGGGTTGGGGGCTTTGACCATTGGCTTCCTGAAGCCGATCCCAAATCCCAAATCGCTGAGCGCCTTTTTGCAGGAAGGCACCTAAAATCATGTCCAGTCTCTGGTTCTTTTGGGGAAAACAACTATGAAACGTATGAAAGGGGGGGTAAGGGGGCATGAAGGGCGGCTTGAAGGGGGGCTTCAAAGGGGCCTCCGCTTCGGAGGCTTCGAAGGCAAGTCCTCAAAGGAGGTTTCAAGGCGACGAAAAATTCAAAGTTTCAGACAGTTGGTGTTTGGCGATGGCTCCAAGATCTCCGCATCCGATCGGATGGATCTTGTCAGCATCCGCCTCCTGGCGCACGTCCAGGTTGTAGGTGCTGTTGTGCAGTTCAAGCTTTCCTGAGGCCGATGGAAAACCAGCGTCGCTTCGGGCTCCGGATGTGTCCTCCTTACACATCAACCCACTTAAAGGAGACTCAATTCAAATAGGTGATGTTTAAATTCACACCAAAAACGGCAATAGGGGTTGTGCTCATGGGTGCGGGCGTGGTCGGTGAGGTGCGTGTTTTTGCGCGGGGGCTGCAGCTTTTCTCTCGGTTCTCTTTTGGGGTTTCTCGCGGTTCTGCGCGCTTACCATTCGGGCTTCATTTTGTGCGCCGTGCGGTTTTTGCGTGCTGGCGTGGTTGGTGATGTGCGTGTTTTGTAGCTTTTCTCCGGGTTCTCTCTGGGTTTTCTCGGGGTTCTGCACGCTTGGGTTGCATGCGCGTTCCAACAAGTGAGGCACCTTCATCATGGGTGAGCTAGCTCGTTTTGGCCCCGAATCGGTGAGCTCGTTGCAACTTGCCCATGTTTTCCTTATCTGCGTACCATCGCAGTCCCAGAACAACGTCGTCAATGTAATCCTGGCCATGTAAAATAAACTTTGGCCCAACGTCAAGACGCCAAACCACGTTGCATATGTTCAGGAACAATTCGTTACATTTTGTCACGTCCTCGTCTGAGATTTACGAGTCATCCATGTCTCCATGCTGGCCCTGTTTCCACGCCATCTGAGAAGAATGAAACCAAAGAACAACATGAAAATGAATCCGCAAGAACCCGAATAATCCCCTGAATACTTTCTCAACAAATGCATCCGCAATGGCCCTAAAGAAGAGGGACAGCGGTGCACCCGGCTCAGCATTTCCGCCCCGCCGCTTTGCACATCTTTGCACCTAGGGACACGGTCCCTACCTTCTAGTCGATTCGAAGTACGCCACATGAGAATTTCTTGCGTTGGCGAGTACCCGTTTTTTCTTTAAGACGTGTGAGTTTCCCCATGCCCCATGTCCCCCCACCGGCAAAGTTGGCCAAACCGTAGCTAGATGTAGCCAGCTTCGCCAGAAAAAGGAAAGTCCCAGTGAGTCCAGTTGAGGGTTTCCGTCAAAAAGCAAGCACAGAACAGCTACTGAGCACAAAAGACAAGCCCATTCACCTGCAGGAATGGTAGCTGAGGACAATGGCTTATCTGATAAGTGGGATCCAGCGAGAGTGGCATCTTGGAGGATGTTGAAGGTAGCAACAAACACAAGGTTCCAAGTCGAGTATGACTTTCTTGGGGCTTCCCAGACTTTGATCAAACATCTCCTTCTGTGCAACCATCAGCTAAGCGTCTCAGTCGCTGAAGGAACATTCGGTCTAAACACGGGCAGGCTTCCGACCCCATAACAGCCAAGTTGGGAACTCACTTGGCCCTCCAGATTCTTGAAGCAAGCAGGGGGAAGCTAAATTAAAAGCTATGATTGGAATGCGTGGCCCAATATCGGGAAACTGATATCAACACCGGTTGGACAAAATTCCCATTTCACACCATATGGGTAGGAAGTTGATTCAAGTATTCATAGGACTTGATCCATCCCAAAGTGGTGTAATGTTGGAGAGTGATTAACAAAGGCCCCCCCCCCTCAAACGAATTGGGGGGGGTGTCAATAGCGAGAATCCCAAAAACAAAATGGGGGTCAGACTGGGACCTGCCTGAGTAGTTTTCCAGTAAGTATTGTTTAGACTTGGTTTAGTATTGGTTTAGTATTCTTTTCAGTTGACACACTACAGTTTAGAATTGGTTTAGTAATGGTTCTTCTTCTTGGCAGGCTGCCCTGCCACTTTTTTAACAATTCCCTACCCTTAAACAAACTGCATTATTGCCTTCCTGGGGGTTCCGTGTGCCACCCTGGAGAATTTGTCAGGGTGCATCTTCTAGTAAAGGGATTGATAACGAATTTGGTGGTTTGGGACAGGAAGCAATCCAGAGATTCTGGACTGTTCTGGCTTTATCTGAGAACAGCAGGGCTTTCTTCTTGGCAGGCTGCCCTGGCATTTTTTCTTCACAATTCCCTACCCACCCCCTTGAAAATTTGTCAGGGTGCATCTTCTAGTAAAGGGATTGATAAGGAATTTGGTGGTTTGGGACAGGAAGCAATCCAGAAATTCTGGACATTTCTGGCTGGACTCAAACGTTTCAACCCTCAAAATAGTCCATTCTTGGAAGGGGACATATTTTCGGCATTTCGGGCAGATTCTTTTCTGTAATACCTACCCATTTTTCTTTTCAGGAGAGTGAATCATGTTGAGACCTTTTTTTTCTGTATTCACTCCCGTTTTATTAATCGCTATCTAACATTAGCGATTTGTCCATCCACAACGTGTCCCTTCTTGTTTGGCGGGTCCCTTGAAAATGGACTCCCCTCTACCTTGGTCAAAGTTCAAGCTCAAACCCACCAGCACCCGGGTCCCAGCTGTGTTTCTCCCATGCCCGAAATCCCACTGTCCAAAAAAGTAGTGGTTGGGGGTGCTGGCAGGAAATTTGAACTTTAGTCCATCATAGTGGATTTCCCTGGGAAACAAAGGGCATGCTTGTATATTTGGTTGAGAAAAAGGGAATCTCCTTCACCAAAACAAAGGCCAAACAAATAAGGGGCGGGGAATCCACTGGTTGCACCTGGGGTGTAAAGACGGCAAAGGATAGTCCCAAAGCGAATCGAACACATTGCTGGGCTGGTTGAACTCAACTCGATCCCGTCGACTCGGGCCCGCGCTAGGCTTCAGAGCTGCGCTGGCCTGATCAAACGGGATCGAAGCCGACTTCTTGTCCAGACTGAGACCCCCTGCCAAAAGCAAAGCTGCTAAAAAGGGGGAACAGTAAATAAGAGCAAAGCGAAACGGCAAAACAAAAACCGGGAAACAGTGAATCAACAAGACAAACGGGCAGACGGGTTAATTGAGTCTGGAGATGCATAATTGTATGATGGCATAGGCTGGTGGGAAATAGGATGTCTCCCTTCTGCATCAGTAAATGGCCAACAACACTCCCTGATCTGGTCAACTGATCCTCGTCAAAAGCTCTGAGAACGAGTGATACTCCACCTGCTTCATCATACCATACGGTCCAAATCAAACAATCCTTTCACTACGAATCAGAGACTGAACTAAGAATAAATTTGCAGTCACAACTTCGCGGCGGCTTCTGCCCAACAAGAGATTACTCAACTTGGCATCCCTGCGGCTCGGACTTGTTTCACTCGCAGTCGTCTCGGCGGCTGCAAGGGGCGTGGTGGGATGCGACGCCACGCAGGTTCTCGTTCATATGAAAGTAAAGGTCTCCTCGGAATCAGGCCCCTGGTGGTGCCATGTCACTCAGACTCAAGCAAAGTATGCCTGGACACGATGAACAAACAAAAATGTGAAATCGGATCATGGTCCGAAGCATTTCAATTTCGCAAATCAGTCAAGCTTCGGCGACGACCTCCACTGCTTTGCCATCCTCAAAGAGCCATCAGCACGAAAATATTCGAAAAGAAACAAGCATTCCACAAAGCAGACTCGATAAGAAAAATAAATTCACAGGAGCAACCATGGTCTTACCGGTTCATTCGAGACCAAAACCTCACCTGAGAAAGCCCCCAATAACCAACCATGGCTACCAATCTGACCAACTGGCTTCGAAATTAAGAAGCGCAAAAGAATAACGACCCTGAAAGGACAACGACTCCAACGTACCAACGTACGCCAAGCATCTTCCAGCTTTGGAATCTGCTGCTTTAGCTGTTCCCAGAGTCGTACCGAGAGGCTTTCCGTGCTGTCGGGCCTTAGGAGTAAGAAGGCGCTGAGCAGGAAAGGCAACGCCAAGGCGAAGCGACTCAGCCTGGGCAAAGAGAGGCGTTGCGATGATTTCAAGTGCTGCGTTGCATGAAGAAACTCATTGCTTTTCGTTAAAAGAACATCAGTCTTCGCTCAGAAGGCACTGCAAGATGTTTTTGTAGGAAGCATAGCTGCAGACGTGACCTTCTTGAAAATTCTCTTCAACACGCCTTCCTACTGCTTTGAAGCTTCGAGCGCAAACAAGCGTCAACAAGGGCATTTCCGATGCCTCATTCCTCACGGGTCCTCTGCATGCAATGCGCAGGAGATCATGTTTTGTAAGACAACCATCAAAGACTTCCTTACAAAACTCAAGTTAGCAAGTACATCTTCAAGCTGTCTCACCCGTGCAGCTTCCCCAAGCAATGAACCCGGGACCCTTTCCTGAGCCTCAGAGCCGCCAAGGCCCCGGAAGGATGTCCAACCTCTCAGTGCCGAGTCTACGCTGCGAGCAAAAGCTGCCAAGGAACCAAGCCATTTGAAAGCTGAAGCTCACCGACGCCAGAGCCAAGCACAAAAAGCAGCAGCATTGGAGAGCGTTGATCTCCAGGGGTTGAACATGCAAAGTTCCAAATGAACAGGAAACTCTCTTGACAACAAAACCTCATGAATTTGGTTTTGTGACTTTGGGGCCATGATCGAGTGGCTGCGAAATGTTGAGAACCAAGTATCACTAGCAATATTGCTTTCTGGCCTGTGGCTGCAAAAACGGCTGCACCATTCCGCTTGTTGCAGCCATCAGCAAAGTGATTGCGACTGACAGCTGCAAGCCATCTTCGCTGCCTGCCACTGACACCAACGCAATGGCGGCACCTTTCTGCAGGATTTCCATGTACACATTTCGGCAACGAGTGTACTTGAGGAAGATGTCTTTGGAGCCTGCCAAGACTCGTTCTTCGCTTTCCTCCATGAGGCACCGGTCCATCATGGCTTCAGCAAGTTCTCGGCTCAAGGAGCTAACGTGAACTTCGGAAGCCGGACTGGTCGCAGTGGCGCTTTGAAGCTCAGTTCGAGAGGAACGACCTTATTCACTCGTCAATTGGCCCAACAAGCAAAATAGTGAGAGCCAAACCAGTTCTCAACGCCATGGTAAAAAGTCACTTGCGCGCCTGCGATGGGCTTCACAATCAACGTGTTCTCCTTCAATTGTACGCTCACACGACCTCGCATTAGTACGGAGATGTAGGCCGCAGCTGCAGCCACCACACGCCGTGTGATGGTGGCATGCTTGAGAGTCAACTTGTCCTTGGCACGGCAATGGCAATTTTCAGGGCCACAGGATAATGGCATTAGGCATCGTCGAAGTCATCTTAACTTGAGCATGAAGCATGCTGCTCCAGTGTGGAAATAGACAAGTTCTCATCTTGAAAGCTGAGCTCAAAGGTTGCACATACGAACAGTTCATTCCCCCAAAGACAACAGGTGGTTGAACACCTGTTCATGTCGTGTGTCAAAATATGTCAACATGTTGCGCTTTGTGCCAGCAAGTCACAGGTGAAGAGCTTCTTGTTTGCACCAGCCACACTTCCAAATCTCCATGGTCTGCTGCACAAGCCACAGTCGCCTTGCCTGGTAAAAGCACCAAATGCTGCTTGGCATACAGGTATACGAGGCATCCCGGAACCACAACTCCGTAGCAAAAGGCAGTGGCCATGCCTGTCGCATCCACGTAGGGTCCAAGAGGATCATCATGACAACGCAGGTGAGGAAGCGACTTGCGGAAAGTAAGCCTCGTGTGGAGCAACCTTAAGGATCACATGAAAGTAGTTCTGTGGAGCAAACTTAAGGATCACAAGTTCCATCGAAACCAACAAGACAGTCATGTTGTCACCGTGTCCCACCCGGCCACACTCTTTGGTTAGTCAACTCGGTCTTTACCCGATATTCGCCCTCTGCCTGCAGACAAACCGTTAAAAGCGCTAAACACCTGCGACAAGGAACTCCTTCGGGAGGAGATTGCCTTCGCCGTCCGTTGTTTGGCAGCTTAACAGCTTTGATGCCGCGGACGCACCCCCGATGTACAACATCGTCAGCACCTGCAGCAAAACCACACGACAAGCAACCTGAATGACCCTCCCAGGGTGCACTCTTCAGTAGCAGCATGGCCTCTGCTACAACTACTTGTTTTGTTCACGGCACTGCTCTCTGGAAGGGGGGTTTTGGCTGTCCAATCTTGCGGACACATTCGGGCAGCAGATGGCCTTTCTCGAAAAACGAGGCCAATGACGCGCCAACCTCAAGCAGAAGTTACGCAATCGCTCAATCTACAAACGAACCTTTAGTTGGAATGCAGCAGTGGAAGGCAACGCTTGGGATACGAGGTGCAAATAGTATGCCTAAGCCGGCAAACTACTGTTGTGCCCACGACCAGTGCTGCTGCAAAAAGGCATCTCCTTCCCGTAATTAACATGCTGGGCGGCCTGCGTTTGCAGATCCTGTATCGCAAGACCTGCTCAAAGGTGGGCAAGGCTTGCGTTTGTGTCATGCGAGAGACCTGGCTTACACTTCCGGCAGGTCTCGTCTGCTTTTTTCACGATACATGTGCTGATATTCTGGGAGGGTCCAATCTCGTTCTCTGGGTGTACTCTCTCACTACCTGCATGCTCGAACCCTACATCAACGCAGTTGCTCGCATTGAAAATCAGGCCGGCCTTCAAACCAGCACTGATGCCAGATCGGTTGTAGACTTCCAAAGCAATGCAGCAAACCAGAAGCAAAATTGGAGTGACCGGCGCGATCAGGGCGGAAGCGAACCGAACGGTCGAAGCGTCAAAACGGCATTGTAAGTTCAGGCCGTTCAGGAGGCTTGCAAAGGAAAATTGCAAAACCTGGCCAGAGTCAAATTCAGAAAACACAACTTCCTAACTCTGTTTTGTTTTGCAAAGAACAAACAAGCCTTTGACCGCACTTGAAAACTGCAGATTGCAGTCGCAAATTTCTAAATGCTTCCAGCCCTCTTCACGCCTCTACGTATGGCAGTTCCCACAAGGATGTTGAGCTCTGTCCCTGTTCTCCTTTGGCCAGCACGGCAAGAACGGCCCACACCTGGCACAACTGTAAGAGCTGCCCCTTGATCTCCTCTTTGAGCTCTGACAGCGCAGATGCTTTGGGTAGTTTTGCTGCTTCCGGTGTTCCGTGCCGTAGCCACACTAAGGCCAACACCAAACCTACGGTCAAAGCAACAGCTGCTGCTATGGCTATGTGCAAGAGCTGCGGCATGGCATCTGTGCTTGGACACGCTTCGCAAAGGTTGCTGGCGGTGTAGTGACCTTGGGAACAATCGGAGCAGAGAAGGCCGCTGTAGCCATCTGCGCACCCCAGTGTGCTTGAAGCATTGCCGGTGGACGCGTTGCACCTGGTGTACTTCGGAGGAAGACAGGGAAGTGCTGCGGTGTCTCCCTGTTGAAGGCGGGCATGGCCCTCTTCCGGCATGGCTAAGGACAGCAGCATGCCTGGTTGCGGGCAAAGTAAATGCAAGTTGTGGCATGGCAGGCAGTCATGCTTCCCATTTTCTGACCTGTTGTAGGCCTCGCCAGCAACACATCCACAGCGGTTTGTGCCGTGGTCATCGTAGGGTTCGCCAACAGTGCAGGTGCATGATGTGGATCCTTCCGGTGCCGTGCTTCCTGGCTCACACTTCTGGCAGGTTCCGTTGTATCCTCCCTTGAAGTGATTCACTGGGCACTTCTCGCAGTCCGCTCCCGCACCCTGCCGCCCAGGAGAACAGCTGCACAGCTCCATAGGCAGAAAGCGTGCTGGCGTGATCTGCAACGCCTTCGATGTGAGGTCGAAGCAGGCGAATCCACCTTCGACGCTCTCCGAGGAGCGCTTGTCCGTACGGGAGAGCTGACCCCCTTCCAGGAGTGCTTTGGCCTCCTTGATTGCGAACTGTTGCAAGAACCGAGTCCAAAGAAAAGGGATTGACTAAAGGTGACCAAATAACTGCGATAAAAAAGCGAACAAACTGATTCAAAAGTAACATGTTGCTTGTCTTGGAAAGCTGGTGAGTCCCAGGGATGAGCGGGCACCCAAAAGAGCTTCCGGTGGTCCGGAAAATGCTTGAACAATTAATTGAACGTTGCTTGACACATTCTCATATGCTGATGAAGCTTTGAACACAAGTCGAGATCAAGACTCGGTTTTGTTCTCCAACGTGACTTTCTGCAAGTCCACAAAGATGCCGTCGGAGACAGCCTTGGCAAGAACCCCGGCGGCAAAGGCTACTGACGGGTTGTCTGCCAGCAACAGGGCCTGCACTCTTCGTGGGATCTCGTCGATGAAGGACATTTTGTTAGACGACAGGTCCAAACTCAGCAAGGACTCTGCCAAAGGAGAACTCCAAGAAGTCCAAGAAGTCCCATCAACAACAGCGGACATGTGAGTTAGCTGGGGAAGACTTCCAAGAAGGCCGCAGCCGTCAGCCTTGATGGTGGATAGAACCCCAGAAGCCAAGAGAGGCTGCAACATGTCGCTGAAGTTGCCCCGCAAAGGACACCCAGATATTTCCAGCAAACTCAGCTTTGGGAAGATGGCTTTCTCCTCTTGCGTGTGAATCATCCGGAAATCCTGCCGATCCTCAGCAGCCGGCAAGAACTCCACTCTGCTGTGGCTTAGCTCCAAAGACCCCAGCATTGCACAGCGGCCCCGCCAGGAAGCCGTAAGCCGCCCAGTAACCTCCGTGCGCGCGAGGTCCACCAATTGGATTTCTGGCCACTTGGTAAGGACGCCAATGTCGCCGGAGACCGACGTGTTCGACAAAGCGAGGCCTGACAGGTTGCTGAGGCCTTGCAGGCTACTGATGTCACCGGAGAGCTGTGTGTTGCTGAGGGCCAGCCACTGCAGCCGGGAGTTGTTTGCTAGGCTGCGGATGTCACCGGAGACCTGTGTGTTGGTGAGCTCCAGCCGCCGCAGCCAGGAGCTGTTTGCTAGGCTGCGGAGGTCCCCGGAGACGTGGGTGTTGGTGAGGTCCAGCCGCCGCAGCTGGGAGTTGTTTGCTAGGCTGCTGATGTCACCGGAGACCTGTGTGTTGGTGAGGTCCAGCCGCCGCAGCCAGGAGCTGTTTGCTAGGCTGCGGAGGTCCCCGGAGACGTGGGTGTTTCTCAGGTCCAGCCACGCCAGCCGGGGGCTGTTTGCAGGGCTGCTGATGTCACCGGAGACCTGTGTGTTTCTCAGGTCCAGCCAATGCAGCCGGGAGTTGTTTGCTAGGCTGCGGAGGTCACCGGAGACCTGTGTGTAGCCGAGGTCCAGCAGCCACAGCTCGGGGCTGTTTGCTAGGCTCATGTCCCCGGAGACCTGTGTGTTGCTGAGGACCAGCTCCTGCAGCTGGGGGCTGTTTGCAGCGCTGCTGATGTCACCGGAGACCTGTGTGTTGGTGAGGTACAGTTTCTGCAGCCGGGAGCTGTTTGCTAGGCTGCTGATGTCACCGGAGACCCGTGCGTCGTTGAGGGCCAGCACCTGCAGCTGGGGGCTGTTTGCTAGGCTGCGGAGGTTACCGGAGACCTGTGTGTTGCCGAGGTACAGCCTCTGCAGCTGGGGGCTGTTTGCTAAGCTGGCCAAATCTCCTGCTGCCTTGGTGTGTTGGAGGTTCAAGTACCGCAAAGATGGAAGCTTTCCGATCTCTTCGTCCAGGGCCCCGTTGACATACAAGTGCTTCTCCAGGTGGATCTCCGTGACTTCGCACCCTTCCCTTGGCTTCAACCCCTTCTTCGTGTCCCTGGACTGTTCCAAGTATCTGCTTTTCTCAGCAAGCATGACGAAGCATGCCAATTGAGCATTGTTTTTTAGAGGTTCAGGGCTTATACACTGCTGGGGAGGCTACGCGGGGGGCTTCGCGGGGCCAGATTTCGTGGAAGGGTTGGCTTCGCGAGGCTTCGCGGCAAGACTGTGGCCTCGCGGAGTGGCTTCGCCGGGCTTCGCGGATGCTTGTTCCACAAACATCTCTGACGTTTGCGCTCTCATGCAGTTGAATCATGTTAAGTCCAAAGGGGGCGATGAAGGCGGTAAAAAAAAACTGAGCTTCAAGATTAGGGGACATGGCTGGGCCTCAAAGGGGCGGAGCGTGGAAGTTGGACCGCGGTGGCTTCGCGGAGGCTTCGCGGAGGCTTCGCGGAGGCTTCGCGGAGGCTTCGCGAAAACGTTCCATCGTTTCTCGCAAAACTGGGCCTGAAACGCACAGTGCTCTTCCGGTCGTCTTCCTGTAATCTTCCTGTAGTCTTGCCGTAGCCTTCTGACTCTAAACATCAACCTTTGGCATGCTACTGCCATGAAAGCACACAACACACTTGCCATGATCGCACATAACACACTCCAACCACGAAGTGGCTTCGCAAAGTGGCTTCGCCTGTGTGAATGTTGCCGGGCTTCGCGAATTGGCTTCGCGGGGCTTCGCGGCACACAATGTATCACACAAGTGCCTTCGCGGACCTTTTGGGAGTTCCCCACGAAGCTAAAATCCATCATCTGAGGAAAAAAACAAAAAAACGCTGCTCAATTGTGGTCCACATCGGTCGCTCGCAGCAAGCTAACGAATGACATGCTGCGAGACAAATCTGCGCTTCGTGTTTCGGGTAAATCTGAGACCTGTGCATGAGACCTACATGAAATCTAAAGCCCCACAAATCAAAGGAATACGAAAGTCGACCAAGGATCCAGTTGATCTTTCCACTCACAACCGACGGATCGACGCCCAGTTTCTGCAGGACGTCATTCAACGCTGACAGCTGTGGACAGTGTGACTTCCCCACTCCTGGAGCATCTGTGTTTAAGTCGTTCCGTCACCAAAAACAGCAGTGGAAAACTACAATCCCAGAGAATCTGTTTAGCGTTACGAAAGAAAGTGCGACCTGCGACAAGACGCTATTCTTCCCGTGACATGCCACCGACAAAAATGCAAGAACCTGGACGAGTTGCTTCCCGGCGCCGGCAACTCATCGACGTCCAGTGCTTCCTGGCCACGCCGAGAACGCTTTGCAACTGCCAAGATGATGGCCAGGAAATGGAAGTAGAGTCGCATCAGAGACATATGGACACGAGTAGGATATAGCAGACGTGGGTGATTGGCCTTCTGTCCCTGGGCCGATTGGCCTTGAGCAAATAAGTAGCGGCAACGTGGGCGGCTGAGTGTCCACAACCACCAAAGCAAAGTGCCAACAGCTAGCCCACGAGTTGAAAAGAGGCAAATTCCTTGGGTCGATCTGCCGATGGCTGAGCGGCACAGCGAGTTTCAGAAGGTTTTAGGCAGGTGGGGTCAAGCAGTTGAGTGGATTTACTTACATTGTCTTCCCAGATTTGCGCAAGACAAGGAACGAGGAATGGAGATACAGGTGCTCCGATGTGCGTGCCTCACGTCGTCTTCACATGACAGTGTTTGTTTGCTTGCATGTTTTTTGACTGCTTGCCTTTTTGTTTGTTTGTTTCCTATTTGCGTTGCCCACCCCGGCTCCCCGCAGACAACCAGCCTGGGCTGTCTGGGCCGCACCTGTGCGCAAAGAACATGCACCAGACGGATGGGACAGTTTGATGAAATAGTCTGAGCCGAATTATCAGGGGCCACTGAATTACTCATAGTCTCATAGTTAACTTTCTCTTTACTGGTACTTCGCAATCCGATTCTAATTGTCTAGGTCCTGTGGTCATATTGCGGATGCGCGAAATCCGTTCCCACCACTTGGAGACCATGGTGGGACTTGTTAGTTGGTTGGCATTTGCGTTGGGGAATCGAGTCAAAAACCAAGGTTTCTTAGGTGCGAAATGGAGTTCGCAACCGTCCACAGTAGTTCACTCTTGTAATCTTGGCTGGAATTAGCACCCCAGCAAAAAGCTATTCTTGTTGCCTGGTTAGTGGAAAACAAATAAAAACCTCAAAAAAGCACAAAATCGCAGAGAGAAGCTCATTCTGGTTTTGGAAGCAATCATGACCTACCTGGGTCCTCCATCTCCGGGTTAGTTCTCTGTTTTGCCGTTCTCCGGGCTATTTACAGGAAACCTTCTGAAAACTCGGAGTTTCAGGTGTTTCAAATCTGGGCCTCCTGCTGCCGCCATTAATGACTCATTGCGAGTGTGGTGAGCTCGGAGGTGTGCTCGGGTGGTTTTCTCGGCCGTCTGGAAAAAACCACTATACAATACAGGATTCTGAACAAGTCCAACTCATGTTCAGCACCGGGATGCGTTAGTTCACGAACCCACAGTCAGGATTCGCAGTTGGAATGGACCTTTGCAGACACTGAACGTCTTTGCCCCGCAACATGTTGCAACCAACATCTTCCAGCGCCGGCCTGGCCTGGCCAAGCACCAGCGAGGCATCACGTCAAGTGGCCAACCAAGATGGCAACCATCAGAACACTCTGTTCTTGTCAAGCAAACAAATTCAAAGCAGCATATATGTAGCAGCTGGACATACTCAAGTTGGTTTTGTAAGAGTAGCAAGTAGGTCTTAACCACGGTTATAACTTGGGTAACTGGGGTGATCGTCCCCGTATCATGCTTATAACCTACTTACCTGTTGCTTGAACGTCCGAAAAATCTGGTGGACCCTTAACAGCTGATACCTGGGAACTTTGTCTCCTGTCATGTCGAAACCGCGGATTTATTTTTGCTGTGGATGAGGTGAATTTGAGCTGTGATGGGCACCGCCTCCGTCGCGTCGTCGCGTCTCTCCGCAAGGTTTGTTTCAATGACTCTTCACTTTTTGGGGGTGTGGACAACTCCATCGTTTCAACAATAAAGCTAAAGTCTAACAGCCAAGAACTGGGCGACCTCTTGGAGTGTCTGCTCTTATCTCTAGTGGTATCCAGGGTTCCGTTTTCTGACTAAGACAGACTTAATGTTCATTCCCCCAAAAGGGACACCCTTGGGCTTAAGTCTACCCCAAGGTAGTCAAAAAAGGAACTCTGTCCAGCATTTTCGAAGTCTCTCATGGTGCAGATTTCGCATCCAGTCCCCTCCCAAAAAGATCCCTCGCCTCATCTGGTTTCACCGGTTCTAGATTCCCCGAAATTCGGATGGCCGGGCTCCGGATGCGGAATTCCTCATTTTGGTCTCCCGGGCTGGGGCCCCGCTTTTTTCTGGGACTGGTTCCTCGGTTTTCTCCAGCGTCGCCTTGTTTGGCCCATTTCTGTATTCCACCACCCCGTTTCCATCGGATATGTGCAAGACACACACGGAGCTTGGCTTGCGAACTGGATTAAAACCGCAAGAAGAAGCAAAGAGATGGGATCAACTCTACTTTGGACCATGAATAGGTTGCTGGTTTTTCATTGGGATCCAACTCCCTACTCTTGGCCAACAAGAAGGATCCTTGGTTCAAACGGAACCCCCGCTTAGCATGGAACCCAAGAGACACTCATAGAGGAATCTTCTCTTGAACCTTCTTGTTGGGTTCCGCGCAGGAATCCTTTGAATTGTTTTCTCGTGTGGTTAACTCACTGTTTTTGGCAAGTGTTTTTGTTTTTGAGTTCTATTCAAATTTAGGGCTGCAACCGACTGGCCATGGGTCAAACCTGTGACCGCTTACCTGCCGAGCAAAAAACTTAAAACAATTAAGTCACCTTGTGCCAAAACATATCACACGCAAAGCCCCAACAGGGGATGCCGGGATGCTTCACCAAGAGCTTCCTCTATGGATGTTTTCTTCGGGGTTCTTCCGTCAATCAGCAAGCAATTGGAAGTACCCTCCAAAACGTTTTCACCTGGAGCCTGACGTTCGGGGGGTGGAAGACCATTGTGCTGTTAAAGGGATCCCCGAACGCCGGGTTTCATGTTAATTGGTGGGCTCTATTCCAACCTTTGAATGCCTTGGAAACATGCCAGCTGGGCACGCACAAAATTTACGAACATGACCCAAGTGGGTGTTTCCCTCACGTTGACTTTACAAGCAAGGGGCCCCCTCCCTTCAACCCTTGGTAAGCAAAAACTTGGCTTTGTCGCAGCCGCGTACTAAACATGAACAGAACCAAACAAACACACAACCTAAACACTTGCCAACAACAGTGGAGCGCCAATCCCTTGAAGAAGGTTGGTGTGACCAAGGGGAAAAAGACCCCCTTAAAACTGGAAATCGCGAGGGCCCGGCTTTATCTTGTTTTTCAACCACCCAGAGGAACCACGGGAATTGCACCCCGACCTTGAAAAACAAAAGCAACACGGGGAAACCAACAGGTCGTGTCAGGTCGATTCGCTTTGAACTTTGGGTAGCTGGTAATTTACACTGAACCTGCAGCCGTTTTCTCCGCGAGGAATCAACTCCCGACGGCATGCATCGAGCAATTCGAGCCGCCATCGCTTGCCCATGTCCGAACCCCGTGATTGATTCTGGTCCATACTAAGTGAAATTTAAAATGCAAACTCGTACAGAAGAGACCCACAATTTCTTTACCGAACACGCTCGTACTTCGAAGACAGAAAAAACTGGCCAGCCCAACTATTTATCAGTCCAAACAACTAACTAGGAAAAACCTCAATTTAGCCTACGCTCTGAGCAATTCCAAGCAAAGTTGACTCACGTCCCGAGTGGGTGCCCCTAAACAAGTAACCAACCTGCTTATTTACCAAAATAGTCCAGACCGAAAGAAACTGCGGGAGTGAGTTGACGACTGTTGTGACCCCTTGGGCCTCCTCTCAACAGCGAATCACCTGGCCTAGGCACTTCGACCCACGAAAACAAAATCCTTCACCCCCTAGACTTCCACCCACAAAAACCCGAACGATTCCTTCACCCCCTAGACTTCGTAGAAAAAACCTTCACAATGATGATT